TCTAACATACTTTGGACATGTTGTGAGGAGAGACCGGTCCTTGGAGAATGACATCATGCTTGGGAGGGTGGAGGGACGGCGCAGGAGGGGAAGGCCCTCTATGAGGTGGATTGATTCAGTGACTGAGATAATCGGGATGGGAGTGTTAGAAACAGTGCGATTGGCAGAGGACAGAGCACAGAGCAGAATTTAGGGCTGTTGCACATAGGGTCGCTGTGAGTCACAAGCGACTCGACGGCACATAACAACAACAACAACATATATTAATATATATTAGTTATCAGAGGTACATTTTATTATAAGGAGCAAATAAATGATATATAATAAAAACATAAATAATAGAAATCAACAATATATAATCACTGAAAGATTTAGTATTTAGCTCATAATTACCAACATAAAAATATCATCTAAAAATAAAGTTTAATATTCCAGGAGAAATTTTAAATTCTTATTGCCTTATTACAAATGACTTGTTTAGTAAGAAGTTCCATTTCATGCATTAAGTTAAACTTGGACAATACATGCTGCAAAATTATTTTTTTATTTTACTGTAATAAAAATAAAAGCAAATGTTAATATACTTTCTCAAAAAACCAAGATAAATAATAGATGATAGTCAACTGTCACTAAAATTTGGTGACAGTTTAACTTTACAACCAAAATATTTTTTTTCACTAAAGTACATAGTTATTGTCGTTGTTATGTGCCATCAAGTCAGAACCCACTCACAGCTGACTCTCCAGAGTTTTCAGAGGCAGTAAATCATTAAGAGGAGAATGACCTTCTTTCTCTCTCTGAGTAGTTGATATATTCCCATCTTTTGGGTTATAGGCACTACTCCTCATCCACTAGGCCATCAGAGATAACTCAAAAGTGTATTATGTTTATACAATCTTTTAAGATTTTCATAGTCTAAGTTTTTTAAATCAAGAATTTATCATTTGCTCAAAGATGTAGTTTCAAAGAACTTGTCTTTTAAGAAGGTAAAACTCAAGATAAAAAAGAGCTTTAGTCAAACAGTGGTTAAGTGCTCAATCTCAACCTGAAAGCATTAGAACAATAGCTACTCTGTAGTATAAAGATGTGTCAATCCGCTTCCTGGGATATTACAGCCTTGGAATTTGTAAATATCATTCATAATGCCTCATAGTATTTCATTTAAAGGTTGTTTTGATATGTTTCAACTAACAGATGCAGCCATGGACATGTTCACCAGTCTGTGCCAGGAAATCTAGAAGAGAGCTGCTTGGCCAACTTACTAGAAGAGATCCGTATTTGTTCCTATTCCCAAGAAAGATGATTTAACAAAATGTAGGAATTATCAAGCATATTTTTGATCAAGCATATCACAGGCAAACAAAATATTGCTGAAGATAATTAAAAAATGACTAGAACAGTACATTGTTAAAGAAATTCCAGAAACTTAAGCTGAATTTATAAGAGGCTGTGGCACTAGGGATATAATTTTTTTATGTCACATGGATCTTGCAGAAAGCAGAAAACACAGACAAATGTCTATTTGTGTTTTATTGAATACATAAATGTATTTGACTGTGTAGATCATAACAAACTATGGTTAACATTGGGAAGAAAGGGATTAAAAGAATATCTGATAATGCTCATACAAAACATAGACCGAGACCAAGAAATTCAAACAAAGTAAGGGAACACTGCATGATTTAAAATCAAGGAAAGTGTGCATCAGGGCTGTATCCTTTCTTCATAGTTATGCAGATGACAAGACTTTGCTTGCTGAAAGTAAGGAGTACTTGAAATGCTTCCTGCAGAATACCAAAGACTACAGCCTCCAATATGAAAAGTCCTCACCATCAGGCAATTAGGCAATGTTATGATAAATGGAGAAAGATGGAAGCTGTCAATTACTTCATCTTGCTTGGATTCAGCTAAAGAAAACCTACAGATGTGGACAATAACATTTGGTAATGACATTTCAGACAAGGATCTCAGAACTCAAGTTTACAGACTACTACAGGGCCTCCACAAGTATAAGATAGGCAATGCAGTATCAAAATGGGTAAAGACATGAAAAAAATCTCTTCACAAAGGAAAAGAGTAAGATGACCAACAGATACAGGAGGAAATGCTCAAAATCACTGGCAATGAGAGATGCAAATCAAAACCTCAATGAGATACTGTCTCGTTCCAGTAGCAGTAGCAAAATCTTACAGGACAGCAAGCAGTAAATGTTGGAGAC